AGATAAGTATGATTTGTATTTGATTGTTGGTCATTTTTATAAGACGGCTAAAAAAAATTTTGGGATTGTATAATGTTATGGTGTTGTTGTCTGCGTCATCGTCAGAAGACACATTGGTTTCTAGACAATAATTTAGTTTAAGTGAATGGATCTCTATGAAATTTTCGAAGAAGGTTCAAACCACAAAAGGAAGGTTGGGATTGATTATTGGATGATTGTCCCAATCGTTTAGGAATAAGGGACCAAAAAGGGGCCCAAAACCAGCATTTTTCTAGGTTCAGGATAATAACTTGTGTATAAGTATTTTAATTGCTCTGAAATTGTACCACAATGATTTATACCACAAGTAGAAGGTCGTTTTTCATTTAAGGTGTTATGGGGCCAACAGTTTAGGGATTAAGGGCCAAAAAGGGGTCAAAAACACACATTTTTCTAGTTTCTTGTGTTTAAGTGTATGGATCTCTCTAAAATTGTACTACAAGATTCCATACTATAAGGAAAGACTGGGATTGAGTTTTTAGGGTTATTGGTTCAAGGGGTGTTTCAACAAGTTGGAGGGGGGATTTTTTTCCAATTTTTTCCATATTTCAAATTCAAGAAGAAATTTTAAATTGCACGGTATTGGGTAATAGATTTGTAAGATCTTTGACCATATTTATTTTGTGTCAGAAACTTATATCATGTCAAAAATATGATCACAATCCAAATTCACACAATATTAAGCTTGAATATATTGTCCATATTTTCCCGAACTGTTCAGGGTTCTACCACTGCGCTTGTATCAAGCTGCGCTCAGTAAAGCATTTTATTAGAAATGAGTCTAAAATTTAAAAAAAGTATCTCAAACGTTGTTAAATTGTTCATGTTGTTCTATTAGAAAGAAAATTAAGAACTAATTACGATATAGTCTTCTTAATGATACAAGTTAAATAATTGGTTTTCTTATCAAATTTTTTTCAATTGCATTATTGGTCATTATTATCATATATGTATGTGTATGGAAAGGGGGTCTAGTAATAATTCCAGCTTTCAAATTATGAAGGTTCTTAAAGGGGCACTAGCTACGAGATGTTTAAAAATATAATATCTTTTTTTATTTGCTCAATCAATAATGAAATGCAAATAGTGAAATAATCATTAGCTTTTAGCAGCCAGTATGGTTCAATTTTGTCAAAATAAGCTTAAAAACATTGATTTTGAATTATTCACTTGCAAGTGAATAATTCGACCTCATTGAATCCGTATTCATGTGAACTTCAATTTAACCCCTTAGCTTGTGATGAATAACACATGAATTGTATGTGTCAAGTTATTTAAAGGAAAAGAATGTCAACATTGAAAGTGAAACAAAGGTAATCATTTGATCGACTGATTTGATCCACAAAAATTTATTCTTATACAGGTAAAAACGTTGATAAACATTTATATTTCATCTCTAAAATGAAATTATATAGACCTAGAATAATCCAACAGCTTGAGTTTGCTTAATCTATTTATATCTATATTTATATTTACATCGATAATTAATTAGATGGCATCTGGACTAAAATACACACGAAACAAACCTACGTTTTTTCATGCTCGTGCTCTGTTTATTATTTATTTTAGACTTTTAATAGTTTGGATAAATGTTTTACATTGTTATAAATAAAATATGAGATTTTGAATTAATTCGGTGAACATGATTTTGACAGCTAGTGCCCCTTTAAATTTTGCTGAACTGCAAAGTAAATTTTTTGTACATGACAGGCCATCAATTTCATCAATATAATTTGATACCGTTTTCAACAGCTTTTTACAGACAATGCCTGAATACTGCAGAATGCCAAAATGTTAAGGAATACGATGGCTGTGAAGACCAGCTTCTAAATATGGGCACATATTTAGTGTCACATAAGGTTTTAAGAAATTATCTTAAACAGTATGTAACTCAAGGGTAAGAAATTTCAACCATGAGTGCTTATAATGCACACAAATGGATGGTGTATAAATTAGATAAAAAACATAGAAGAAGTGGATATATTGTCAACACATTTTTTTTAATATTCAATAGGTGAAACCAAGATCATTAAATTTTTAATAGTTTATAAAAAAAAATCATATAATTTATACAAATAGTTATTCATTATGAATACATGATAGTTAGTATAATTGTCAATGAGATGAAATGGTATGGATGTATGCAGCTATAGGTTAGCATACATATTGTAACAACATAAGCAAACATTGCTACAGTATAGTCCACTACGAAAGACCCAAACATATAAAATATTTCATAAGGGAAACCTCAATGTCATCATATTTTAGTATGAAGAACATCACCAAATGACAACCATTTAATTGCAGATTACTGATATTTGAAAGGCACATACTTATTGCCAATTTTATCTACATGTATATTCAATTAATGTTATGCAAAAACTTCTCAATTCTAGTGACAATATTAACATTTGTATTGAAGTGTTGAACACCTTTTTTTTGGTTTTGCTGTTATGTTTGTACAACTTCTCAAAAATTGGTTTTATACAGCAGCTGTAACACTTTCTTATAGATAAATGAAGATGTGGTATGAGTGGCAATGAGACAACTCTACATCCAAGTAACAATTTATAAAAGTAAACCATTATAGGTCAAGGTACGGCCTTCAACACGGAGCATTGGCTCACACCCAACAGCAAGCTATAGAGAGCCCCAAAAATACTAGTGTAAAACCATTTAAACAGGAAAACAAATCTATATAAAAAACGAGAAACGAGAAACACTAATGTACCACTTAAACAGAAGACAACCATTGAACATCAGACTTCTGACTAAGGACAATTGCTTATGTCTTCATCTACCAAATATAGTAACAATGGGACATTTCATGCCATGCGGACTTCATATCATGTTGCTGTAGGGATGGAAAATAATTTGTTTTTGGTGTTATAATTTTCAGAAACATAATTGCCATTATTTTTAGCTGCATTTAAAATCAATATTAGGTAATTGTCTGAAAAACATCAAGTTTTTTGTATTTGGCACAAAACTGTTGAAGAGCTCATTAAACCTTGCCTTTTCTCAGTTTCTATGTCTCATACAAAAAAGTTGATATTTTTCTGACATTGACCTTATATTGTGTATTAAATTTCTACAAAGGTGTACACTATCATCATTCTACAAACAGTGGGCTTGGGAGCAACTTGAAATTGGGAATTTGAACTTTTCAGAGGAGTTCCAGTATAACAGGTAAATTACAATAAGTAAACACTGTTTCTGGAATTTTTTTTATCATCCGTATATGCAACGTTTTTGATGCTTTATCATATTAAAAAATATATTTTGGTTCAAAGGAATATTCACATTCAAATACAAAATATCAGCATATTTGGAATGTATAAGTACTGTTGACGATCCTAATGTTGATTATTATGCAATCATTTTACACACCATATTAATGACAATTTTACTACATAATTCATGAAATGTTCCCATATGATTGGATCCTTTGAATATCTTTTTAGCACTTTACTTTTATGATCCACTATTATCATTCTACAAATGATACAAAAAGTTTTCAGGTTGAAGAGGTTAAGAATATTTTAATTAGTAACAAATTTACTATAAAAATACTACAGATGATAAAGCATAACTCAATTCAAAATTTATGCTTGAGAAAGGTCAATATAATTAGATTGATAAAGATAAAAAATTTTGTAAGCAGAATGAATATGCGTTTCATTTTTAATGCAATGCACTGCATTATGCATATTAAAAGAAAAGGATTTTTTACAATTCATCCAATGTATCAGCTTCCATTATATTTCAAATATTGAACAGTTTATTTGGTTGATGTCCAGTGAGTCTGAAAATGTTGATATATCGGTGTCAAGATATATATATATATAAAAACAAGTCTAACTTGAAAACAACGTTCAAACCTATGATTGCGTTGGATAAAAACCGCAATTTTTATACGTGTGCATGCAAACCAAATTTCTTGGTAGATACAGCACAAACAACATTTTCCAAAAGACCAAATGAGTGAAAAAGTATATTTTAACAAAACGCATTTGACTAGCTGGTCGAACAACTGATGTTCTTAAACCCTGCTGACTGCCATTGGCGATTGCCAAATAAACGGATCACAAGATGTAACAAAACAGATCTTATTAAATTATTACCAAACAGCAAACAATAAACTTGCGGAAAAGATGGTATACCGCAAACATGCATGAGGTGCAAAAATTTGTACACCATATCCGGATTTCGACAATTAATGTCTCTTCAGTGATGTTAGGAATCGAAAAGGTATTTGGAAGGCCATATATATATAAGTTTTTGTTTTGAAATAAGAAAAAAAATGCATTCTAAATATACACGCAGTAGTGATGTAGATCCCATATATATCGTATTAGGTCAATAGCACACTGTGTAAGGAATTAATCTTCTAAACTAACTTCACATGTGGTATTTAAAGTAGTGTCCTATCAAAGTGATCATGTATTCAAAACTTAGTTTTAACCTGTTTAAGAACCTACTTCCATTTGTCTATAAAAAAAAACATGCCAACAATAACAACGTATTAGCTTTAAATTTGTTTTATGAATGTATTCCGAATGTTCATTATCAGTTTCTTCCTCTGTTTAAACCTTTCAGATTTCTTTTTCTGTTTTTAAAGGGAAGTAACTCCTTACTAACCCCATATGGTTGCTTACCCTATATGGTTACTAACCATATATATTTTACCACATTTACACTGTAAGAGATACACAACATTTGAAGTCTTGCAATTAACATTGCAAAATATGGTGTATTCTGTACCAGTGGATTGACTGTTAAAAGTCTGGGTATCCAGTATTTGTTTGCAAGTCAGACATCGTTTGTTTCCGCAACGTTTTATAGATATATATGTGTGCGAGTATATGCTAGGAAACAGACTCTTTAATTGGATTTAATAAAGTTTCGTTTTCATATGGAGACATTTCAGCATGAGCATTCTTGTTGCACTCTTTCATGGATACCTCTTGGATTAACATATATAATTAGGCTAAAAAAACAATTTGTAAATAGGTTAAGATATTCATGGTACAGTTTCCTGGAGTTATTGGATCTGAACTATAACAATGGGTTTTCATGTCCTGAATGTGGAGACTGTCCAGAAACTGTTGTAATGGATGGAGTTTCTTTGGGACTTAGAAAGACCTTCATGCCTTGGAAACAATATTTAAAGGAGACAACAGATAATGTTACATTTGATGGAAGGTATATTAGTTTTCTCTTTTAGATAATTAGTTTTACTTGATACTCAATAAATACATGTGTTTTTTCGAATGACAATGAGATGTACAAATATACAAAAAGGTCAAATAGCAAAAATGTCTTATGCCTCAGTATGTGAAAAATTAAAAAAATAAGTCAAGTATCTTGATTTCAGATAGAAAAATAGGTTAACAGATGCATTGATATTAATTTTCATAAGGCAATTTCTATCTGACAGAGCTCAAATGAAATTAAAATGAATGAGGCAGATAGCAGTCAAACAAAAATCAATATGTAAAGAATAAAGTCAGGTTTTAAACCAAATTGTGTGCACATCAAAAGAACAATCATCATGAAAAGAACTTGAATTATCAGTATTGAAATTTTCTTCAAGTCTAGAAGAGCTCTTTCTTAAATGGCAGTCATCATGGTTATGTTTATATTGAGAGTTAATAATTTTTTGATATTTTTCAGATAAGTGTTCATATTCTAAAAGAAAGCTATACTTAGTAATTATGTTAGGTATACTACCCTCCTTTGCAGATTGGCCAGATAAGCAAGCTAACAAATATATTTCCTTTATGACACACTCAAGGCGTTTTGCTGTAAAGTGTATTGGAAGAAAGATTTTAAAGTTATAACTGACCAGGGTTTTTCTGTTACACATATATTGTATTATTTCAGTTCTCACAATACAAGAGTATTCATCAACAATTCTGAAACAAGGAAGCTGTTATTGAAGTATGTTAAGGAGGGCTTGAATGAAAAAGAATACTGCCAATTAAAAAACCAAATTTCCACTTATCAACCTGCCATGACAGATATATTGAATGACTTTTGGGAATCTGGTTTTGCCAAATGTCCTGGGATTTATTCTGATTTTTTATCGGTATTATCAAGCAACTACCCAGTTTGTGGTTTTTTGCATAATAACAACAGAATCTTTGAAATCTTTTCCGATTGGAGATTTTTTTTTCAAAATGATGACAGTGTGCTTTTGGAGCAACAAGTCCCTTTATTTTCTAAACTTTTGAAAAACCTGGAATGGAAAATTCCTGAATTTATGTATCCCATCATGAAGGAGTTAGTTGTAAGGGCACAATCACCATTTGTTAGTGGCAAAATACACAACACCTCAGATTGTGAATCAGGCTGTGCCTGTGGAGGGATTGGGTTTTTTCCGACAATGCCAACTATTTGCCACAGAGGAAACTATACCATTGATAACAAAAAATCCAGGATGGAAACAAAATGCACAAAGAAAAGGTCAACACATCCCACATTAACACCTGGATTATTTACAGTCTCGTGTATCCATGGTAAATATATTTTGCATACATTTTGTTAACTGTGTCTGAAAAAATAATGATTTTTAATAGCATGGTGATATCATTAATCAAGTTGTTTTCAGAAAAAATCATAATTGTATGTTTGTTCAATTCCAATGGGAGATAATTCATGCACTATTAACCATATTAACATTTTCCTGCCGTTAATTAATGCACTAGTGATGGAATTATATTTGTTATTAACAGGTTCATGAATGACAACTCATCAACTATTTTCTTCTTTAACATTCATCTGTTGTTATTTAATCCATGAGTGATTGGAACATTATTTTACTAAACAGGTACATGGGAGACAACTCTTAAACTATTTTATTGATAAACATTTTCATATGTAATCCTCTGGTGATGGGCATATTATTTTTACTAATAGGTACATACAAAATCTTTATCTGAAGGAGAATACATTTATTGAAGGTTGGTTCAATTCCAATGGGAGACAACTATTGTACTATTTTACTTATTAACATTTTCCTTTATGTTAATTAATACTATGGTGATGGAAATATGACTTTAAACTAACCACTAACAGGTACATAAAAAGTCTTCATCTGAAGGAGAATACATTTATTGTAGGTTCGTTCAATTCCAATGGGAGACAACTCTTGTACTATTTTACTTATTAACATTTTCCTTTATGTTATTTAATGCTATGGTGATGGAAATATGACTTTAAACTAACCACTAACAGGTACATAAAAAGTCTTCATCTGAAGGAGAATACATTTATTGTAGGTTGGTTCAATTCCAATGGGAGACAACTCTTGTACTATTTTACTTATTAACATTTTCCTTTATGTTATTTAATACTATGGTGATGGAAATATGACTTTAAACTAACCACTAACAGGTACATAAAAAGTCTTCATCTGAAGGAGAATACATTTATTGTAGTTTGGTTCAATTCCAATGGGAGACAACTCTTGTACTATTTTACTTATTAACATTTTCCTTTATGTTATTTAATGCTATGGTGATGGAAATATGACTTTAAACTAACCACTAACAGGTACATAAAAAGTCTTCATCTGAAGGAGAATACATTTATTGTAGTTTGGTTCAATTCCAATGGGAGACAACTCTTGTACTATTTTGCTTATTAACATTTTCTTTTATGTTAATTAGTCCTATGGTGATGGAATTATTATTTTTACTAACAGGTTCATGGGAGACAACTCATTAACATTTACTTGCCGATATTTAATCACCTGGTAATTTTTATACTTTGATTACATTATCATATACCAGTTTTACACATTTTCATTATATAGGCATTTGCTATGGCTATGAGATTATGGAAGATGCAGAGAGTCCCAACATTCCTTTTACTGTTCTCCGTACTAGATTTCATACTGGTAATTATTTTCTTCATATGTTTAATGATATTTATTAGAATTTTTTTAATCTGAGGCAAATTCAAATATTATAGAAAAAATATCTTTCCAATTGCAATGCAATGTCATACTGTACATGCAAGATATAAACACAATAGACAACTTATAATTTGCTTCAGCTTCTGTCATGAATTATTGAATAAATAATCCTAACATCAAGAACTAATCATTCAAGCCTACTTGAACTTTATTCAACTATTCTTTATTTTTAAACTTGATTTACCTTTAATAGTTTGCTGTCTTTAGCTATAACTAATTATTATTATTTTTATTGCATGTGCATATGCTCTTTACATTGCATGTGCTTTGTCTGTGTGTGATTTATATATTTATTTTGTTTAAGTTTATATGTTGCTCTGTCTTTATTCATATGTGCTACATGTACTGTTATAGATTGTGCTATATATGAATATGTTGCTATCTAAAGATTGATTGTTTTGTGTTATCATATATCAGTCTGTTTAAGAGCTATAATTAAGAGCTTTGTTTAAAAACTTTCCTTTAAAAGCATTACTTACTAACCAAATAACATATAATGACATATGCACACTCAGTCTCCAAATTATGTACCAAAGTAAAACTTAAATACAAGAAACACAATTCACAGTAATCAAAAACAAGAAGGGTGAGATCTATCAATATTGAGCCACCTCAAAGTGTTCAATTTGTAATATGACTATCGTTATATATACAAAAGGTTCATTTAACTTCATTTGAATTTGATAAGTAGAGATTGACATGTCATTTTTGAAAATACTTAATTTTATATAAAGGATTAACTGGACATAATATCAATAATGTGGGTGCTGATTTCATTATTTGGTTAATTTGCAGCTCCTAAGCTTATTATCCATGATAATGCATGCAACCTGCATCAGTACTGTCTGAACAGAGACCCTGTTTTTTTCCAAGATTCTTGGTTTTTGGTTGACCGTTTTCATTGGTGCAATCATGTTGGTAAGTATGTTTCAATAAATTTGAATACTGTAAAAGTTGTCATTCATAAAAGCAATAAGGGGGAATGTATACTAAATGTTCAACACTAAATGTGTTTATCAGAAATTCAGCAATCAGTCTTGTAAATGGAAGATAGAAAGACTTAATAATATATTTTTGTAGGAAATAAGTTAATGCTTTACAACTTTTCTTTAAACATCCAAACAAAAAAAGCAGGCAACTAAGTTGATGAAAGGGTTGCTTTGCATGCTTTTATAAAAGAGCTGTAATATTTGGTCAAATTTATCTATCATCACTTTTTCATACAATACATTATAGTATGTTGATATACCTTCATACGAGATATTAGTCAAAGTCTGAAAAAATGAAATAGTTTACTGCAAAATATTGTTTTGGAAAGAAGAAATATTTAAACAAAATAAAAGACATACAGATATAAAATATTGTCTCCATTTCAACAAGTGGAAAATTTTACTTTATATTATTAGATATTACACATTATGCAAAAGGGGTGGAACATGCAAGAACCAGGTTCTTCAGAAAAAGTATAACAATAAACAGAGCGAAACCAATTTACAAAATTAAAACAGAATGGACTATACATTCAAAAGCCTTTGACCGGAAGGTAATAAGTTGATATAGTATAATATAATTCTAAGCACATATATTTCAAATGGAACCCATTCATTTTTTTGTCTTATTTACATTTAGAATGAATTAAATGCTCATGCAAATAACATATAATGCCATCTTTTTTTCAGGTTGTCATGTAGGATATAATCTAGATAACTACCTACAATATAAATGGATCAACTCACAGGTTGCAGAACAAAGAAATAGCACATTAAAAAAACTGAAGAGTATGCTCTCTTATATGAATTTAAAAATTTTTTCAACTCATTGTAATTTTTTTTTATGGTTTCGTAACATGTTAACCCTAGCTCGTATGGACAATGATCTATTTGTAAACACTGATTTCAAGCTTTTTTGCCATCTGAGTAAAGTATTCACCACATGTAAATGAATCAGTTCAATTAAATTTATGAAAACAGAATTCTCATTCTGTTTTTTTTTAAGATAAAATTGTATTATCAAATTCATCAAAGTAACTAGGCTAATGGTTTTTTACATCAGATATTTGTTTGTCTTAAAAAAGATAAATTAATATGGCTGCTATCAACATATGGTTTTTAATTACACACTCAAGTTACATGAATTTAATTTCAGAAGGTATAATATATACAATTTGTTTCCTATTCATCTTCTGTTATTTCAAGATATAATTTTGTTGAAATGCACTAGAAATAAGCTAACTAAAAATTACTGTAGATATTTCCCAACTTACCAGGCATGAAGAAAAACGTGAGACTTATTAGTTCAGGATGAGGACAACTTCAAAAAAGGTGGGTTAGGCCAATGGGTTTTTTCAACCATGTTTGGAAATTCTTCTAAATTTCCTGAGTCTTACAAAGACTGTTACTTAAAATAAATGTATAATTATTTTTTGAATAGACCCATGAGGTGAAAATTCAATATTGTAAGAATGGAAGTGTCAGGTAGAGAGAAATTATTCATAATTCACATGTCTGTCTCTGTTAAACTCAAGTACAAAGTTGAAAAGCATTGTGAACCTAAAATTCTAAAATGTTTTGCCTTAGTAGGCTTAGATAAGCCTTACTCTTCATTGTTTTAGCTGTCTGGTACTATTATAATTGTGCACTAGTCACAGTATCCATTCATGATGTTATAAAAGTAAGGAAATATACAATATGAAGTTAGTTATAAACATTCTATGTTTTATTTAAAGAATAACACATAATTTTAAAGACATCTTTTGTCAAAATAACTTATCTAATTTACATCTTGATACCAGATAAGACTTCGCAGTCTATAATCTATATATGACTTTATTCATGGTAAACTTTTTCAGAACTTCTGTTTGATATTTTTTTCTACATTGGCCAGCATAAACAAAAAACATTGATGTTAAACACTTTCTAGGTTTCGAAATTGTATCAAAGTTATTCTTCACATAACATTGTTAAGTCAGGTATAATATTGCATAACATTATATTTTATAACAAAACTTGTATTTAATCATTAGCTTGAAATTTTAACATATGATATTTCCCATTATATTTTTTATTGATTGAAGCATTTATGCTTTCTTTTAAATATACTATGACACATTTATATCTATATGTATACTAGGTAGATTCTATGACAATAAATCTTAAACCATTATTTGCCCTCGGTGCATGGCATCCATGTGGTTTTGTCAACTTTCTCTCTTCTGATGCATGAAACATAAGAATTAAATAAAGAATGTTTTTTGCAAGTTTTATAAAGAGATATTACACTAGAAAAGACAAGAACATTTTTTGGTAGACTACATGTACATCATTTAAGGGTGTTGATTGTTTTAACATAGATGTCTATTTGTTAAATGATATTTGTGAATTGTTTATTTTGCATAAATCTGATGTCAGAGTGGATCCCTTTATCGATTGATTTTTATCGTTAGGATAGGGATTATCGTTTGGTCTTTGATTGAGAGTTGTCTCCGTTTATTAAATACGGTGTATTTCAATGGGAGAACTGGAAATTAAAATGATATTTTTTTAAAAGGTTTGCCTATATTTCTTCAGTAATTAGAACAAGTGAGAGTGTGAGAGAAAGAAAGAGATATGCAAGCAAGGTGGGTCTGTGTAAGTTCATATCCCATTACTTACAATGTATTCATATTATAATAATAATTTTATGAAATATGATGGCGGATGCAATGAAAGTATTGGAAATAAAAGTGATATTTTTTCTCTAGGTTTTGTTATTTTCTTCTTTAGTACCAAATGAAATCTGGTTAGAATAGGATGACACTTTAACATCTTCTTTAAAAATAATGTAATGAAACAGAGATAAAATATTTCCTTTTTAAAATCAACAGAGTGCTGTCAGCTGAAAACATAAAAAAATGTGACACTTTATTTATTATAAAGAATTTGTGTAAAATATAATGATTATTTGAAGAATTAACAGGAAAAACTATTTACCGGAAAAAGTTGAATGTTTGCAATTACTTATCCTTTTTGTGAGTTTACTTTAGAAACAATACACAGAATTTTCCAAAAATACTGCAGTAAATAATGTACAAAAAACAACCACAATTACTCTACCCATCTGTAAAAATACAAGACATACAAAGAAAGGCAATGCTGAAACCATGCATACAACCTATCTTCTTTCGCAAACATGCACTTAGTATACTATTATGCTGTCAAAATCCTGAGATACACACATTGGTATGCTGGTTCATTAGGAAAATTACTGCAGCTTATATAAAGGAATAATACCTTGGATATGTGGAAATAAATCATGATTTCTACACACATAAAGAGATAACAAAAATAAATTGCTATCAAAAATTAACTTTGCTAGGAAGCTTAAGATGAAAGTTCCTATCAAAACTTATCAAGAGGCAAATGTAACTTGTTTGTAGGTATAATTTGTTGTTGATATACTATGAAAGTGGTATATGCAAATGCATACTTCATTTCCCTGAAACAGTATGGTTGCTATGTAAAACACTCGTTGTTAAGTAGTTTCTACGGAAAATGCCAGTCTGAAACTGCTGCATGGAAGAAACCAGCTTGTTCATATTAATAACCTGTTCTCAAGAACTAAATGTAATTAAAAGGGGCAAATAAAAATAGTAAGTGCTGAAATAGTATGGTTGCTAACCAAAATATATGTTGCTTACTAAATTTCATGGAAACTAACGAAATAAAACTGATGCATCTCAAAAACTAGCATGTACATATAAATAGGTTTTTTTACGTCATGTGATTTATGTTGTATGTGCAAATACATATAAATAGTATGGTTGCTATGCCAAATCAATGTTGCTAGGTAGTTTCTAAGCAAAGTACAAGTCTGAAAATGATGCATGGAACAAAATAGCTGGTATGTATTAATAAAATGTTGTTGTCAGACACTAAATGTTACAGTTACTTGTGCAAAAACATGTGTTAAATGCCTGCAATAG